GATTCAGCATATCAAAAAACCCCATATATTCAATTTTTGTTGAATCAAATAAAGTTTAATTTTGGACCCCGATTTGGACCAACTTGAAAACTGGGCCCATAATCAAAAATCTAAATACATGTTTAGATTCAGCATATCAAAGAACCCTAAGAATTCAATTTTTGTTAAAATCAAACTAAGTTTAATTTTGAACCCTTTGGACCTTAATGTAGACTAATTTGAAAACGGAACCAAAAATTAAGAATCTAAATACACAGTTAGATTCGGCATATCAAAGAACCCCAATAATTCAATATTTGATGAAATCAAACAAAGTTTAATTTTGGACCCTTTGGACCTCAATGTGGACCAATTTAAAATCGGGGCCCAAAATCCAAAAACTTAATACACGATTAGATTTAGCATATTAAAGAACCCCAAGAATTCAAGAATAAAACCCCATTGAAATTGGTCAAGAAATAAGCAATTAATACTGTGCAATTGAATATTTCTTGCTATTGCGCAATACTGTACAATTGACAATTTCTTGCTATTGCGCAATATTGTGCTATTGGATATTTCTTGCTATTGCGCAATACTGTGCAATTGAAGATTTCTTGCTATTGCGCAATACTGTGCAATGAAAGATTTCTTGCTATTGTGTAATACTGTGCAATTGAAAATTTCTTGCTATTGCACAATACTTATTATATAATAATTTACACATTCTGTTTGGTGTGTATCTCCTACCATATCATTATTATTTGCTTTTAAATATAAATCAGATATAACCAACTTAAAATGGAAAATTTTAAAAGAAAAAAAAAGGAAAAAAAAAAAAATCCCCCCCCCCCCCCCAATTTTTTGAAACCCCTTATGATTCATCACCCCCAAACTCAATCCCAGCCTTCCCTTTGTGGTATGGTACCTTGCAGTACAATTTCAGAGAGATCCATACACTTGAACACAAGTTATTGTCCTGAAACTAGAAAAATGCTTGTTTTTTCCCCCTTTTTGGCCCCTTATTCCTAAAATTTTGAGGGAATTACCCCCAAAATCAATCCCAGCCTTCCCTTTGTGGTATGGTACCTTGCAGTACAATTTCGGAGAGATCCATACACTTGAACACAAGTAATTGTCTGGAAACTATAAAAATGCTATTTTTGGCCCCTTTTTGGCCCCTTATTCCTAAATGTTTTGGGCAATTACCCCCAAACTCAATTCTAGCTTTCCCTTTGTGATATGGAACCTTGTAGTTCAATTTCAGAAAGATCCATACACTTACACACAAGTTATTATCATGAAACTAGAAAAATGCTTGTTTTTTGCCCCTTTTTTGGCCTCCAATTCCTAAAATTTTGAGGCAATTACCCCCAAAACCAATCCCAGCATTCCCTTTGTGATATGGAACCTTGTGGTACAATGTCAGAGAGATCCATACACTAACACACAAGTTATGTCTGGAAGTTACAAAAATGCTTATTTTTGGCCCCTTTTTGGCCCCTAATTCCTTAACTGTTGGTACCATAACCCCCAAAATCAATCCCAACCTTCCTTTTGTGGTATTGAACCTTATGGTAAAATTTCACGGAGATCCATTCACTTAAACTTAAGTTAGAGTGCGAAAACCAATGTGTCTTTGGACGACGCCGGACGACGCCAACGTCATACCAATATACGACCAAAAAATTTTTAATTTTTGCGGTCGTATAAAAAGTAATTTTAAAAGCTTTCTTTGACAAATTTTATACTTAACTTCATTTCAAAAAGTTTAAATTACATTTTCTAAAAGAGAGCTAAGAACTGTTTGTATTGTAGTAAATTTAATTCGTTTGAAATTTATATTCAAATACGCTGTTGGGATATTACTAAGCGGCAATAAAATACAATAATTTTGTATTTCATAAATTAGTGCCTTCGATAATAAAAAGTCGTCATCGAATAGTCTCATTATGCCGATATTCAAAAAGACTCATTTCTTTGTTATACAACAAATAGGTCATAATAACATGACACAGTTTTTTTGTTTCAGTATGTCCTAGATAAATATACAAAACGCAAATTTTAGACAAGGTATCCTCATAAGCCTGGAATTGGCTTGTCACATATAGTTAACAGTGTTTTTCTCACAATCACGTTCTACGGATCTACCTCCATAAGCCTGGAAATGTTGTGGTGGGTCACATATGTGTTTGTATGTTTATGTATAGCCAATGTTTATTGTCAAATTTGGTATCAATCCTATAATTTTTATACGACCGCAAAAAAATTTTGCGGTCGTATATTGGTATGACGTTTGCGTCGTCGTCCGGCATCGTCCGAAGACACATTGGTTTTCGCACTCTAACTTTAGTTAAAGTGAATGGATCTCTATGAAATTTTACCATAAGGTTCAATACCACAAAAGGAAGGTTGGGATTGATTTTGGGGGTTATGGTACCAACAGTTAAGGAATTAGGAGCCTAAAAGGGGCCAAAAATAAGCATTTTTGTAACTTCCAGACATAACTTGTGTGTTAGTGTATGGATCTCTCTGACATTGTACCACAAGGTTCCATATCACAAAGGGAATGCTGGGATTGATTTTGGGGGTAATTGCCTCAAAATTTTAGGAATTAGGGGCCAAAAAGGGGCAAAAAACAAGCATTTTTCTAGTTTCAGGACAATAACTTGTGTGTAAGTGTATGGATCTTTATGAAATTGTACTACAAGGTTCCATATCACAAAGGGAAAGCTGGGTTTGAGTTTGGGGGTAATTGCCCTAAACGTTTAGGAATTTGGGGCCAAAAAGGGGCCAAAAAACAAGCATTTTTCTAGTTTCCAGACAATAACTTGTGTTCAAGTGTATGGATCTCTCTGAAATTGTACTGCAAGGTACCATACCACAAAGGGGAGGCTGGGATTGAGTTTGGGGTGATGAATCATAAGGGGGTTCAAAAAATTGGGGGGGGGGGGGGTTGTTTTTCCTGTTTTTCCTTTTTTTTTCTTTAAAAGTTTTCCAATTTAAATTGGTTATTTCTGATTTATATATAAAAGCAAATAATAATGATATGGTTTGAATAGGTAAATTAAAATTTTTTAAGTTCTTAGACCACATTCATTCTGTGTCAGAAACCTATGCTGTGTCAAATATTTTATCATAATCCAAATTCAGTGCTGTATCAACATGATCAAGCTTGAATGTTGTGTCCATACTTGCCCCAACTGTTCAGGGATAGACCTCTGCGGTCGTATCAAGCTGCGCCCAGCGGAGCATTTTATTTATTTTAAACCTATAAAATATCTTATCTTATCTTATCTTATCTGTTATTTTCATATCAATACACATGATACATTTTTACCAATGAAAATCCAGAAACAACTTTTTTCCTACAAGAAAACCTCATGTAATTAAGGTGATAGTATAAGGTTAAATAATGCTGTTAAATTCTTTCCTTTATCGGTGTATTGAAGTCCATATAAAAATGAAATCCATAAATGGTAGGTACTGTTTTAATCAAATCTGTATTTCTAAAAATGCATTAAAGGATTTGCTGTTGATTATTACTTTATTAGAATAGAAATAGGAAGTATGCAAAGCCTTTATAAACCAGCACAAATCAGATGTAGCTCTTTACAGGAAACATGAGTCCTTTCCCAAACCCCATACAATGTTGTGTGTTACTTACGGCCAACGCCGTGTCAAAAATAAAAAAAACTCACGAAGCTACTTAGTAAGCACTGTTACTTCTATAGGAACAAGCCATATAGATTCAATAAATCATGACTCAGTGACAGGGCTATATAATATCCATGCTATGAGATGTGCCAATGGGAATACAACAGCATACCAAATATCATTGACTCAAAATAGTGGTTCCCCATAAACTGACCTAATAACAAATTGTTGACAACACTGTCCCCTTTGCTGGAATCATAAGGCGTATCTGTCACCTCAGAAACTTCAACGAGGTGACAAAAAAATATAATTGAACTAAAAAAAGTTATGTAAAAATGTTGAAGTTCAACAGATTGGGGCAATGGAGAAACTTCAAAGTTGAAAAGATATATATCTGCAACGATTTGTTGCAATCTACTAGTACATGTACTTCCATATTGTGTATTTGTATCCATGTTATCTTTGTAAACATTAGATGTATACTATTAATTGTCTTGAATTAATGAAATAAATATAGTTATTTGTTTAATACTACATGTACTATTGATGCAAATGGATTGGAATAATAAATATGTCTTTCAGCTTTGCTCAATGTTGAAGGCCATACAGTGACCTATAGTTCCTAACTTCTACATCATTTGGTCTCTGGTGGAGAGTTGTTTCATATGCAATCATACCACATTCTTTATATACCAGGTTGACAATACATATGCATGGTACAATATTGAAATGAGAAAACAAGATATAAATCGCAAACTTGGATGACTTGAACCTGGAATAAGTTGAAATATATATATATATATGCTACTAGGATATTTTACAACCCTTTTACAGAATTTAAGTACTAGCTAGGACATAAATAATCAATATGGAAAATCTCTTTTTTTTTGTAAAAACTTATCAAAGATACCAGACTGGTAATTTGGTAAACCAGACACACCATTAATTGTCTTTATAAGACTCATCAGTAGCGCTCCAATAAAAAACAGTTGGAAGGTCAATCACCTTAGTTCATCTGGGAAATGCTCCAAGCACCAACACAGAGCTGTGGGCACAGAATTTTTGCTTAAAATTATAAAATATACTTATTCATTCATTCTTTTTTTAAATTAAAAGCCATAATCAAAAATATTTGAGAGGGGAAAATACAGGTTCTCATTGGGCATTACTAAGATAATTAACTGAAGCAATGAGCCTGCAAGAATTAATTTTGCACTTAATTGACTGCAAGTGTAAAGCATGAATGGGAAAAAAGCTTTGAGTGGGGAAAAATGCATGTTCTATATAAGCGTTATGGCCATAATTTAGCTGAAGCACTATGTCTGTAGGCATTTTTTGCACTTTTGATTGTTGGTACGTCTTACCTTCCTCCTCTGTTATAGATAGGTGTGGTTGAAGAATCCAGTTTGAGGTTGCTATGACGACAGATATAATATAAGATAAGAAGATTATTTTGTTTGAAAAAGATATTACTGTAAATTCAGAAATTATTACGATGTTTTCATTATTGCGAAAAATGCGACAGGGTTATAATCGCAATAATTCAAACTCGCATTTTGAAATTTTTTATATGAATTAAACAGGATTTTTTTCAATATCGCAAAAAATAAAATCGCATTTTAGTCTAAAATGACAAAATCGCAATAATAAATGCACGCAATAATTTCTGAATTTACAGTAATAAAAATTGGTGTAAGAAGATTTAGCGTATGACCCTTTGGTGGCCTTGGGATGTTTTCTGCTCTTTGGTCGGGTTGACATTTTGAGACATTCCCTGTTTCCATTCTCAATTTTATATGTGCTTGTTACAAGTAAATTTGAAAGAATTTTGCTAATGTTGCTGAAGACTTAGTGATCTTGTGGCAAAATGAGCACAACATGATTCAGAAAAAATCTTGTAGATGTTAATTGAAATTGCTGGTGATATGGAGTGATATGATATTATTACACTGATATCACTCTGATTTATAACTCTGTCCTATTATCTCTGTAGAATATATACAGAGAGATGATTCAGAGTGAATCTCCTACATTCACCAGCATTCACTGTTAAAGAAGAGTAATTTTTATCTGAATAACCTTGTTTGTTCTGCTCCAAAGCTCATTGATGAAGATCATTCATCAGCAGCTGTGTAAATTTTTTAGTCTAGAGCTATTTCAAGTATTGGATTTATTATTTATCTTGAAAGTACTTTGTCTTATGGATTTTGTGGGTATAAATGAACCAGGGATTTAAGATGCAACAAAATACAAATTTTCCTAAAATAGGTCATTGTATGTAGAATCTGTTAAAACCAAGAATTACAACCTTTACTAAACCCATTAAAATGTGTACCGGTATCCAGAAAAATAAATGACTCCACAGGATCATTTAGAAATCAAGAATGTAAATAAAAAATGAATGAAAAAACAGACGTGAGAATCGCATAAAATCTTTGACCAGGGATACATAAAACTTAAATTATTAGAAGAAATTAGATGAGAATCTAAGAATAAATTTACAATTTTGAATCATGCAGTGTCTGGCCCAACTGTCCTTCATATGTTGATAATATTTTTAAAATAATTATATGAAAACAGGTTATCACCAACCATCTTTTTCTTGCAACTACTTCAATCACAAGGAAAAATTTCCTAATTTAGCAAAATATTGTAATATAATCATGTCTTGCCACCAAAATGGTTGCTTACATGAAATCAGTTCTAAAAAGAATTTCCAACAAAACCATGCATAGAAAAGTGTGCATTAAATTATATCAGATAGCAGACATAAGCATGGTAAATGGTAAAATATATAAACAACATAACCTGAATATCAAGGGGACTAAAATACATTAACAACATAACCTGGATATCAAGGGGACTAAAATATATTAACAACATAACCTGGATATCAAGGGGACTAAAATATATTAACAACATAACCTGGATATCAAGGGGACTAAAATATATTAACAACATAACCTGGATATCAAGGGGACTAAAATATATTAACAACATAACCTGGATATCAAGGGGACTAAAATATATTAACAACATAACCTGGATATCAAGTGGACTCATCTACATTTATGTGGCTGGTAACCAAACATTAGCAATATTTATACCTAAATGAAAAGGAAAATTACTTATCTACACTAATGCTGACATGACAGGTAACTAAACCTTAGCAAAGTAACCTGGACTACAAGGGAAAGAACTCATCTACATTTATGTTCACATAAAAAATGGTGACTGGTAACCAAACCTTAGCAAATTTACATGAACCTTGATAACAATGGAAAGAACTCAAATACATTTCAAACTTACCAGCTCTGTATGACTGTTGTCTTTCTGGGATAGCATCAATATCTGTAAACCTTGCTTCTTTCTGAAATAGAAAATTTTTCATTTAATTCATCCAATGAAAATTAGTTTAATGTGAGCCATGTTTGTAAATATATCTTTATTGCTAAATTGCTCCAAGCTGTATAGGATGTTGTCGTTACAGACCAGCATAGCGTCAAAATGAAGTTTTTGAAATTAGCCATTCCTGCTTTTCTTTTAACCACATGATATTGAAGTCTTAGAGCTTTGACTAGGCCCAGATGCAAAATAATGTGCTATTTAGACCAACTTCACAATGCCCATGTGAAACATGTTTGTTTTATGTTTGTTTATTCCACATTGGCTAGAGTTATAGGGGGAGGGTTAAGATCTCACCAAACTTGTTTAACCCTTCCACATTTATGCGCCTGTCCCAAGTCAGGAACCTCTAGCCTTTGTTAGTCTTGTGTGTTTTTCAATTTTGGTTCACTTAAGTGTTTTGGAGTTAAGTATGGCGTCCATTTTGCTGAACTAGTACACATTATTGTTTAGGGGCTAGCTTAAGGTGCGGGATTTTCTTGCTGCTTTGGAGACCCATAGGTGGCCTTGGGCTGTTTTCTGCTCTTTGGTCAGGTTGCTTTCTCTTTGAAACATTCCCAGTTTCCATTCTCAATTCTACTTGAGTACAAAAGTTTTTTAGCATGTATTAATTTTATATTCAAAAGTCAAATAATAGCTTCAAGTCTTTTAATAATTGACACATTGATACTAAATAATTAATTTGAATAAACTGCTTTGCCGAGCGCAGCTGGATACGAGCGCAGAGGTCCAACCCTGAACAGTTGGGGCAAAAATGGACACAATATTCAAGCTTGATACAGATATAGGTCTGAATTTGGATTGTAACTAAATATTTGACACATTATAGGTTTCTGACACAGAATAAATGTAGTCAAAGAACTTGAAATTGGTTGTATGATTTGAATTTATATTCAATTGAAGAATTCTTGCTGTTGTGCAATACACTGTGCTGTTGTGCAATACTTAGTAAATCTGTTTTCAGACTATATACAAAGAATTAGCAAAATAAATTGACAATTTCTTAAATCTTCAGGAAATAAAAATTGCCCCCCCCCCTCCCCCCCCCCCCCCCCCAATTTTTTTATGCCCCCCCCCTAAAAAAAAAATATTTGAAGAAATTTTCTTTTTGTAAAATGTGGTACAATTTAAGAGACATCCTTACACTTAAACACAAGTCATTGTCTGAAAACTAGAAAAATGCTTGTTTTAGACCCTTTTTGGCCCCTAATTCCTGAATGGCTTAGGCAATTACCCCCAAAATGAACCCCAACCTTCTACTTGTGGTATTGAACCTTGTTGTACAATTTCAGAGCAATCAAAATACTTATACTGAAACTAAAAAAAATGCTTGTTTTGGGCCCCTTTTTGGCCCCTAATTCCTAAACGGTTGGGACCATCTCCCCCAAAAACAATCCCAACCTTCCTTTTCGTTAAATTTCATAGAGATCCATACACTTAAACTAAAGTTATTGTCTGGAAACCAAATGTCTTTGGACGACGACTCAACTACACATATGTTAAACTCGTTTAAACCTCTGTGTGAACGCGACCTAAGATTTCAAATTAACTGACCATGGCTGAAGAGACAACAATTTTCATTTAAATAAAAAATAACTCTAGAAAATATGTGTTTAATCCTATAATAACACATTAAATGTATTATCAAAAGGTCTTCCTAGGAAATCGACAAAATTAAACAAGAAACTCTCAAGAGCCTGTGTCGCTCACCTGCATCTTCAACAATGGCAACTTTTTTGTAAAAATCATCAATAGACTCTATTAAGGGTTAACTGACAATTTCAGTCATGTTCATGTATTTGTAGATCTAATCCTGCTATTCTTTTTTTTTCTTTTTAAAGTTTCTATTCATCTATAACTCCAATAAAGATTCGACTGAAGATTTCTGCCATTACAGCTTATTTGTGGATCTTTTCTTGCTGATCATTTGTGCTACTTAAAGTTTCTATCTATCTATTACAGTTTTCAAGATAATAGGCAAAAAAGGGAAAATCGTCATTAAAGGTCAATAACTTCAATAAGGAGTCAATTAACAATTTCGGTAAACTTATTTGTAGATCTTGTCTTGCTGATCAATTTCCTGTTTAAAGTTTCTATCTATCTAATATTGTTTTTAAGATGTTAGGCAAAAATGAAAAAAATGGTAATAAAATGCTTCGCTGGGGCGCAGCTTGATACGACCGCAGATGTCGAACCCTGAACAGTTGGGGCAAGTATGGACACAACATTCAAGCTTGATATAGCTCTGAATTTGGATTGTTATTAAATATTTGACACAGCATAGGTTTCTGACACAGAAAGAATGTGGTCTAAGAACTTGAATTTTTTTAATTTACCTATTATGGTCACATAATCAAAAATCTAAACACATGTTTAGATTCAGCATATCAAAGAACCCCAAGAATTCAATTTTTGCTAAAATAAAACTAAGTTTAATTTTGGACCCTTTGGACCTTAATGTAGACCAATTTAAAAAACGGGACTTAAAATTAAAAATCTAAATACACGGTTAGATTTGGAATATCAAAGAACCCCAATAATTCAATTTTTGATGAAATCAAACAAAGTTTAATTTTGGACCCTTTTGACCTCAATATGAACCAATTTGATAGCGGGGCCCACAAATAAAAAATCTAAATTCATGGTTAGATTCAGCATATCAAAGAACCCCATATATTCAATTTTTGTTGAAATCAAAAAAAGTTTAATTTTGGACCCCAACTTGGACCAACTTGAAAACTGGGCCCATAATCAAAAATCTAAACACATGTTTAGATTCAGCATATCAAAGAACCCCAAGAATTCAATTTTTGTTAAAATCAAACTAAGTTTAATTTTGGACCCTTTGGACCTCAATGAAGACCAATTTAAAAAACGGGACCCAAATTAAAAATCTATAAACACGGTTAGATTTGGCATATCAAAGAACCCCAATAATTCAATTTTTGATGAAATCAAACAAAGTTTAATATTGGACCCTTTTGACCTCAATACGAACCAATTTGATAGCGGGGCCTACGAATAAAAAATCTAAATACATGGTTAGATTCAGCATATCAAAGAACCTCATATATTTATTTTTTGTTGAAATCAAACAAAGTTTAATTTTGGACCCCAATTTGGACCAACTTGAAAACTGGGCCCATAATCAAAAATCTAAATACATGTTAAGATTCAGCATATCAAAGAACCCCATATATTCAATTTCTGTTGAAATCAAACAAAGTTTAGATACTGGACCCTATCTTGGACCAACTTGAAAACTGGGCCCATAATCAAAAATCTAAACACATGTTTAGATTCAGCATATCAAAGAATCCCAAGAATTCAATTTTTGTTAAAATCAAACTAAGTTTAATTTTGGACCCTTTGGAACTTAATGTAGACCAATTTAAAAATACAGGACCCAAAATTAAAAATCTAAATACACAGTTAGATTTGGAATATCAAAGAACCCCAATAATTCAATTTTAGATGAAATCAAACAAAGTTTAATTTTGGACCCTTTTGACCTCAATATGAACCAATTTGATAACGGGGTCCACAAATAAAAAATCTAAATACATGGTTAGATTCAGCATATCAAAGAACCCCATATATTCAATTTTTGTTGAAATCAAACAAAGTTTAATTTTGGACCCCAATTTTGACCAACTTGAAAACTGGGCCAAAAATCAAAAATCTAAATACATGTTTAGATTCAGCATATCAAAGAACCTCATATATTCAATTTTTCCTAAAATCAAACAAAGTTTAATTTTGGACCCTTTGGACCTTAATGTAGACCAATTTGAAAACTGGACCAAAAATTAAAAATCTAAATACACTGTTAGATTCGGCATAACAAATAAATAAATGTGATCAAAGACTTTACAAAATCTAATGCGCCATACTGTGCAATTAAAGATAACTTCTTGAAATTTTTCAATATTTGAAATTTGAAAAAAAAATAATATTTGAAGAATAATTCTTTTTAATTTCTGAAATCTGAAATGAGAAAAAATTGACCCCCCACAAATTCTTTTTATCCCCCCCACCCTTTTTTCCCCCAAAAAATTATTTCCCTCAAGATATGGTCATAATCTCAATTCAAATTTCCAATGGAGTTGGCAACCATAATTACCCATTTAAATTTACCATAGTGCTAACTTAATCTATTTTATAATAGAATTAAAAATATAGTGTCAAATCTTTCATATGGATTTTTTTGTAAAAAAAAAAGATGCAACATTTGCAGATATTTTTACTGGTCTTCCTTTATAAATATGCATTTCTTTAAACATAATTTAAAAGCAGTGTAAGGGAAGTAACCAAAATGTTGTATTTGGATTACCTCTCTTACACTGTTTTAAATTATCTTTATTGTTCATTAACCATTACTCTATACATAATTTAAAAGCAGTGTAAGGGAGATAATTTCAATGATGTATTTGATTTATCTCCCTTACACTGCTTTAAATTATGTTTTGTACTAAAGTATTTGTCCATTAACCAGGACAACCTTGTTTTTCCCCCTTTTTTGCCCCTAACTCCTAAACGGCTTGAGCCATAACCCCCCAAAGAAAATCCTAACCATCCCTTTGTGGTATGGAAACTTGTAGTATAATTTCAGAGAGATCCATACACCGTTCCACAGTTATTGTCTGGAAACTAGAAAATGCTTATTTTTGGCCCCTTTTTGGCCCCTAATTCCTTAACTGTTGGTACCATAACCCCCAAAAATCAATCCCAACCTTCCTTTTGTGGTATTTAACCTTATGGTCAAATTTCAAAAAGATCCATTCACTTAAACTAAAGTTAGAGTGCGAAACCAATGTGTCTTCGGACGACGATGCCGGACGACGACGACGCCGGAGACGCCAACGTCATACCAATATATGACCACAAAATTTTTTTGCGGTCGTATAAAAATCATTATTATATAGAGAATATCATATGGCTTTTTCAATATCACATCCTATCAAT